TAACAATTTTCCTTCTTCTTTAAATAAAAGTGCACTTTTTTTTGTTGCTGCTTTTGATAAATTTAACTTAAAATATTTGTCAAGAAAGATTATATTTGTTTAAATTTTTGTTAGTTTTAAATAAATTTGAATATAATAGGCAATTAAAATTTTTTAGATCTTAAAAATACATTCGGAAAACGCAGTTTGAGTTGTTTTTGCTTTTTTTGGCTTCAACTATGACTTTGTAATGCCACCGTTTATCCTAAAAGTAACTTTATTTAATTTTATTAAATTTTAGTACTGACGATGTAACCCATTTGGTTTACATTTTTTATCTGTCCCGGCGCATCCACCATTTTGTTCTAAATAATTTTTAGTTCTAAGTTTTTTGATTGTATTTCCTATTTTAATTGCAAGAAAATTGCCTTACAATAAAATTTTGATGTATACAATAAAATTACAATTAAATAAATTATTATTATGTTTGTTTGGGCACCTCCACCATTTTTACATTTAAATTATTAGGTATATTTTAGTTCAAAGTTTTGGAATACCTTTAATTTAAACAACGTAAAAAGCTGTCTTGCAAAGGAATTTTGATGTATGTATTTGTAAAAAAATAATTAGGTGTATTTGTTTTATCTATCCCGGCCCATTAAAATTTTTTAAATTCAATAATTTTATTCTTCGACACTGTCAAAATTTATGGTTTTTCTCCCGTGTAAGAAAGTTTTGACAACTGTTTGGCATTTCTCAATACGAAACGTCAAATTATTTTTAACAGATTTAAAGCACGTTTAAGCCTTGTTGAGTCTAATTCGAAGAATAAAATGTTGCATTCCACTCGTTTGAGTGTAAATCGGACGCTTTATTCCACCTCGTGGATGGTAAACCACTCGTTACACACTCGTGGTTTAAAAATCCACTCGGTCAAATAAAGAGTCCCATTTACACTCAAACTCGACGAATAAATAACTATTTACAGTTTTGTTTCATTTTAAACAACACAAAAAATTGCCCTACAATAAAATTAATGTATACAATTAAATAAATAATTATTATTCAATCCTCTATGTTAAAATTGAATTTTATCTACTCTTTTCTTCATGTTAAAATGAAATGTTATTGTCTAGATGATAAAAAATACATCCATTGTTGTATATCTGCGGTTGTTAGTTGCTAACAAACTTTGACATTAGATTTCATTGTTGAATTTTACTTTGACATTTATAAATATCGACCAAATTGACGACAAAAATAGTGAGGATTGAATAAAATTTTATATTGTACACGAGGATAAAATTTTCATTATCTTTTCGAGCATATTCGGCTGACGCCTCAACGCTAAATTGCTCTTAAAGATAAAATTCAATTTTATCGTTTTGTATAATAAACAAATATATGTTTAATTTATATTTTTATCTATCCGAGCGCTTCCACCATTTTTACATTTAAATTATTTAGTATATTTTAGTTCAAAGTTTTGCAATATTTTTAATTTAAGCAACATAAAAAACTGTCTTGCAGGAATTTTGATGTACGTATTTGTGAAAAAATAATTAGGTGTATTTATTTTATCTATCCCGGCCCTTTAAAAATTTTTAAAATTAAATAATTTCATTTTACAATTTTGTTTCATTTTAAACAACACAAAAAATTGCCCTACAAAAAAATTAATCCATACAATTAAATAAATGGCTATTATGTTTAGTTTGTATTTTTATCTCTCCCCGCGCTTTCAGCATGTTTGAATTTAAATTATTTCATTTTACAGTTTTGTGTAACAACACAAAAAATATATCATATAATAAAAGCATAAATTTATTTCATAAAAACAACTATCAATGCCTGATAAATCACTTTTGTTTGCTGTAACAAAAACGAGCTCTTTTCATCATTATCTCGTTTAATTAATAAAAATACAAAGAGAGAAGTGGAACGGATTCCTTTTGTTGACAATTTGAATAGTTTTAGAAAAAGGACCGTAGTAGTGATTTACTCAATATGAAGCCGTGTTATTTTTAATTAAATGAAACACCAAAGCAATTTTTGGCTTGATTTTAAACAATTACGAAGCCTCTAGTGCCGCTCCAACACCGATAAATAAAACCCTTATGTCCGACAACTATTATTTTTTCAAGCCGGTCATAATTCACAAAATGCAAAACACCCCACAACAAAAACGCCCCA